GACGCCAGCATCGGTTATGTCCACGACAAATTCGTGAAGCATTAACCACTGATTTCTTCAGTCTAACGCATGGCATTGTATCTTAGAGGAAAAAACCTATGGAACGACTCGATATTTAGAGCAATAATCATGCAATAAATTGACATAGTCACCGCACCATAAAAGAACATTTTCTTTTTCACATGTTTCTACATCGTAATAACACATTCGACTATTTCTTCGACCTTTGCTGCCGCTGTAGAGGATATCGTAAAGTCAAAAGTACATAGTACCAAGCTATATGAAAAACATGCTCAGCATGAAATGCGACATTAATTCTAGTATAGGGCTAAGGAGTAAACGAAAAGAACAACTCGCTAAGTGAATCTAAGATGAGTATCACTCATTCTTTGCACTTTTATCACATAGAAGCACCATGTGGTCCGCAGTCACTTGAGATTAAAGACTGTACGATGCTGAGGTCATTGGCCCAACAGCGTTTAAGGCAATTTGTGCTTTATTCTAAAACTTAGAACTTGCCACATTTTACCAGCTGATAACTGTTTGAGTGTCAATCTTCATAAATAGAGCTGCTTGTCAATTGAATCTCATTAAGGTTTGAAAGAGAAAGTTTAGAGATAAAAGCGGGATAAAATGATGAGAAATGCGATACAATGGAGAATAAATGGAAGCGTAATCAAAGGAAGATGGAGTAATCGCAAGAAACGACAGTTTAATTAATGATCGCATCACAGCTACATTGAGTCGACGGATGACGGTGATGATATTGTGCCAATATGGCTATTCGCCAGACCTGAACTGCAACTTACTATTATACTTTCGGCTGTTTAGCCATGATACATTTATTGCTACCTAAAAACAAGTTCTTCACCTCCTTCTCCATCATTATCATTTCCTTTCCACCTAATTCGATTGTCATCCTTTTTTCGCCAGATTGCTTTATAGTTCAGTAGTTTTGATGTACAGCTGTGATAGTCAAAGATTACCGAATCCACTGCTTGAATAGATCACTTCAAGCTACAGGACGTCCATATTCACTTCATGTTTTTTAAAACAAAAAGAAGTACAGCATTTATGCTATCATAGAAGATTTATTAGCTCTTCACTCGTCGCAGAAGTCATTACAGTATTAATAACAAGTCTTGTTCGCTGAAACAAAAAAGGTTTTACTTTTAACTGCTTGCAAATACGATCATAAAAGTATTTCGAGCACACATAATGTCGATGGAAAATCGTTGGTAGGATGATCAAAAAATCAAGCATACGGGAACGATTAATGTGCATGATACAATTTGCTGACCGGAAAAACTGATGAATTTACATGAGATCACTCTACAATTATCGAATCATTCAATAATAGAGATTCAGGTTGTCAACACTGGTGGAGATTGAGTTACTCAATCTTGTCAACAGCTCATTGATGAGTGAGACCGTAGACCGTAGATCACCTTCCTTACAGGATGGTGGGTTGACAGGTAACAGTCTCTTGGAATACAACAATAGGATATGGTAGATGATCGCACTATCAAGCATGTGTTATAAGAGCAGTGCGATGAGTTTGATCTAAGCGCAAACGGCTGACGGGCACCAGGAAGCGTGCTTAAGGAAGAACATAAGAAATAAGTAAGAGCTTTCCGCTGAGCGACACAGTTTAAACAGAACAATTCGTATATTACATAAATGATCAAAGACTATGAATTGAGGAAAAGTAGTGCATACTGAAGTACACGATTTTGAACTTACTATGCTGACGATACAAAAGTGGAAAATTCAAATGACGTCACTTCTGCTTCAGCAAATCAAAAAATGGGTTTCTCACAGAATAATGAGTTGCTTTTCCTTATTCATTCACAGCCTTTAAAAAGACGTACTATAATCGGTATTTCTCGATTTCCATTTACACCCTACTCTTCAAGACGTGCGTGAAATCCGTTTCAACACATATATAATGTCTTACTGACAACAATGAAAGAGTCATAGAACAAATTGATTGCATGATCTATGGTAATAATCCTTTGAAAAGGTGCATTCCACAACTTGGAGACTATTGCGACATTAAAATTACGAACTTGCATTTTACTAAGCTTCCTGTTTCTTCTTCTTCTACGTCGCGATGGTTTTCAGCTTGTGGCTGGAGTGTCCAAATGCGCACCGCGAATCTTATATAATGCATGAATTGCTGCCTGTAAAAGTAATTGTCTTGGGCTTATACTGCCTTTTACCTGCTCAAGAATATGAAAAGCACCAACTTATTAACAATTTACATTAACGAAGAAAACTCCTTCGCTATTTTATCATTTTGTTTCAACAAGAATTGAAAGAAACACATTTTCTCGGACCGTAAACTTCCCCAATAAAAACAATGTGCTTGCACTACAAACACAGCTGTAAAGATTCTAAACGATATTGAGGTCCAGTGAGCGATGAGAGAACAGGCGTCGGTAGTGCAACTGGTTAGCACCCCCGAAAGGGTGAGATGGAAGATTGACTCCCGTGTGACGCCCAAGACTCTGTACGTTACTCAAATGTATTGGATAAATGCACTACATATATATATGTATATATATATATATATTCTACCTTGTACCTCAGCTAAAAAGGTTAAATGAAAAGATTTCTAGAGAGAACTGCCTTCAAACTCGGATTTTCCTAAGCCTGAAGTTATTACACCTCTCATCGATACTAACATCAATCAAAGGTACATAAAATTTAATCAGTAGGCTAAAAATTACTCACTTTTCTGAGCAAACGTACGAAATCGTCTTTTTCAAGCAACCGCGCTTCATTTGGAAAATTCCTACCTAAAGAGGTTTCGATATTTCCCTGCTCCAATAAATGCTCATTAGTTGATGAGCCAATATCAGCATTTCTGTTTACTGCGAGTACTCTTGTTCTTGGTGAGACTATGGAGTAGTCGCTATTCCTAGGACTACATGAATGATAATGTGGTGACATGCCAGAAAAAAGTAATGGTCCAAGTTCCGAAAACTTGCAACAAGTTCGTGAGGTAATGGATTAATTTGCTGTTCCACCTCCAATCAGACTTGTTTGCGAATATTCGAGAGTTCAACTTTCAGCGCCGACATGTCAAGGGAAAAACACGAGGGAGCCTCAAGAGAAGAAGACTGGGAATCTTTCGAAGATGAGAACTGCATACCATGCTAATGATGTGTTGATAGGCATTTGGCATCCGACAAGTTGTATAATTTGGCTCGAAAAATCGTGCCGTACAATACTGACGACATTTATGAACAGAGAACTGATTATTTTAGGATCTGATCTTTATTGCCATAAAACAAAAAATTGTTGATTGAACAAGCAAAATTCTATGCAAGGAGGGTAAATGTTGACCGGTTTTGATATTTAGGGTGAAATGCTAAGATCGATAGCTGTTGTATAACTCTTTGTTTGCTGATAAATGCTTCAAACAGTAGATCAACAACATCAGAAAAAAGCTTGAAAAATTGGGGTGAGAAATATGCAATTTCTCCAGTGAAGTACCCTACAAAGTGATGATTGTGGACCTTATAGAAGCTTGCGTTCTAGTTTTACTTTGTTGCATAACGTCGAAGATTAAGAAGTAAAAAATGGCGAAGTGTTATTTTCCCCTGATGCTACTTTCGTATTGAAAAGTGGAAATTTTTCAAAACACGTGAACTTTTTTTTTACTAGAAAAGACTTTTGTGGAAGGCATTAAGTATCAAATCATTTTCTGATCACAAATTGCCTCTATGATACGAATTTTACTATACAATCACCAAAACACCGCTGCGCAGTTCAAAAGACTACTTGTTCACTCAGAGTGTGAAAAATAATCTTACAACCCTTGCTTCACGGCACTAAAAAATCTGTTCATTGAGTCCAATTAGTTTATAAAATCTACACTTTTTGAACTATCGAACAATTTTCAAAACTCTAATACAAGGGCAGGATTAAGCGATAGCGAAGCACGCAAATCACTCTGGAGGCGAAACACTGTTCTTGTTCAACGTTTTTGCAGCGCATGGACGCATGGACGACGAATAATATGATTTTGTTTATAAATATCATTGATATGAATATGAATATGCTTGATAATTAATGAAACTCGTATTTATCTCTAAGCATTAGCAGGCTGAATTTCTTTATTGAGTCATTTTATTCTCAAAAACCTCTTCCAAAATCTTTTCCTGACACTGAAAGTGAACTTCCACAAATTAGACAATCGTGAACATACGGATTTCTCAGAGCTTTTCTTCTCAACCTTTGTTCACCACAAAGATTATCGTTAACTGTTCGATCGGTGACGCTTCGGAGCCTTCGATTTTCTAAGCTTACGTTATATCAGACTTTCAAATGATTTGCTGGGCAATTGATGCCTTCTACCGGTCAGGTCAAACAAGTCATTTCCGACTTCTTCTTTGGACAGAGACTTCTGTTCTACCCCACAATTATCAACTTATGTGTTTTCTTGGGGTAAAAAGTAATTCTTGGTAAATATATTGTGTTGGCGAAAGATTTTTAGGGTTTTCGTTTTTGCTGATTATGTTCATGCATTTGAAGTTTTTGCTTTCACTAGCGTTTGGAGCAGCATCTTGCTGTTAATTCGATGCATAACTCTCATACATTTATTTTAGAATGGAACTGACCCCAAAGCAAAAACGATTGTTAATGCTACACGAGTATCGTTTGGGTTCACGTGGTGCTGAAACTTTCTGCAAGATTAACGAGATTTGCAGTGGTGGAGCAGATGAAGAGGTGCAGTTATTGATCGTTTCAATAATTCAGAGCCGAATAGAGAACTGATACACAAGTAAGGAGCTTGCCGCCTACAGGAAATTGACAGACAGGCCGTTTTAGACGCAACTGAGACCTCGCCATCGCTGACTTCTTGCTTTCTTCGACAATTTTCTATACAAATTATACCGATAATCAGTCATCATTCTTTCTATTTTAACTGCCACTTGCATTGGTATGATGTTATAGTATACCCAATATGTGGAGTGCTGTGCAAAAACGTTTGCTTCAGCCGGGAACGAACCCAGATCTCACTCTTTCCGGGAGCTTATGCTAACCATTGCACTATCGACGCTCGCTTTGCACAGCACTCTTATTTACGCTAAAACGGAAAGGGTGAGATCTGGGTTCGAATCTCGGCTGACGCAAACCTTTTTGCACAGCACTTCACATATTGGGTATACAAATTATACCGTCGAGAAACGATGAAACTGTCGATAAACTGGGAGAAAGTGATTGAAGTTAAACGTGAATACTTTGATGAGTCACCTATTGTTTTCATTTGCTCAAAAAATGGGATGAAATCGTACGAAGACAAAAAAGTCCGAAAATTTTCTTGTCCACAAAATATCGTTTGATTGCTACAAATCATACCTCAGTGTCTTGAACGTCTTCGAAAGGTTTGTATGCGAGAGAGGCGTCCCTGGTAAGCTTACACGAAGCTGTATTTGGCCTGTAAGGGACTGGCCTGACGTCGCTTCTGCACGCTTCGCTTTCCTTTCAGACTCTAAGAATGTCAACGTGTAATGCAATACACATATAAAGCCTTTTATAAAGATAAAATAGGGAGAAAAGATTGATAAAGAAGCTTACGTTTGCATAGTAAGCAACATCTTCCCTTCAAAGACTTATCGTTTTGTACTTCGCCCATGGGTTACCCGATGTTAGTAGAGGACCACCCGCACCGTGTGGGAGCGGGTCATAAAGAGTCCCTTATTTCTAAGGAACTACCCTTAACGGGCGGAGTGGGTCCATGAAAGAGGGAGAGGGCGAGGGCAAGGTGTGCTCGGCTCTAATCAAATAATCGATCGGAGCCATGCCGCAGGGTTAGCCATCCACGTGTGATGACGTGACAGACGTGAGATCTCTCTACCGTACTCGTTCCGTACCTGCGCATTACCTCGCCTCGCCATGTTGCTGTCATGTTGAATAGCTTTATGTTTGATATTGGTTGGCTCTCGTCTCTATCGGTCTTGACTTCATTCATTACTTTGGAGTGCACGTTGCCATCACCCGTTCATAGATTGTTTTTACAAGAGTTTCTCTTATTGCTCCGTTTTGTTGGGCTTCCACACATACATAGCAATTATCGAGATATCGTAATTTGAGGCATAGTGGCCGCAAAGCCAACACGTCCTCAAGGATGTTTCCCGTAAATTAGTTGAAGCACTGACTCGCCGTCTCTCTTGCTCTCCCTCGAGTTCTCATCCTCTTTCGGTCATATATCGAATAATTGTACATAGGATACGAGAAGGCTTTCGAGTCGTTCTTAGGATGAAATTGATCCTGTTCTGATCTCTTCTAAACAGTTCGCTCAATAGTCATAATGAAAGCCTAAGATTTGGAACTTGAGTAAAGTTTTTTCCACAATTTGGGCACAAAGAGCTGATGATGTGATGTGAAATTTTCCAAAAATATCAAAAATCCTAGCGATAGCGCGACGCGTATGGATACAATTTTATTTCAAATGCTAGTGCAAAAAAGAATTTTCAAGAGCCAAAAACCTTTCCGAATTTCCCGGGATTTACGCTAATGCAAGTGCTAGTACTTTAAAGGATGGGCCCTGTCCTGTGAATAATACATGCGATAACGCACGAAAACGGACAACGCGTGTGAATCAGTCTTATTTCAGTCACATGGAGCTATAGGAACCTTTTTCAATAACAAAAGCTTTTTTGAACTTTTCGAGATTAACATCATTTCATGATTTTTTCGTTTAAAAAGGAAGCTTTGCCCACTAAATATAAGCGTGATAAAACACGAAGAGCGCGCTGCGCCTGCGAAACATGATTTTATGCTAATATTTTAAGCTTTATTCGATAAGCCTTCACAGCGTTCTTTCTCTCCTGTACGGATCTCAGTTCTTCCAAAATTCAATACGTTTTTTTCGTCTTCTTCTTTGACGTCGTAGGATACTGACTGAGCGAGTTCCTTTACAATTTTGAGTATAGCCTGGCTAAGACGTTCTAAAAGGCGTAGTTCTTGACTGCCGAAGAGACCTTTAAGGGATGGAGTCTGACTCCACGTGGCATTGCGAATACTGAAGCTCTGCAAATAGGCCATTTAAGTAAGTTAAAATTCTTGAATTTCATGAGATTTGAGGTTCTGAATGACTACCACTACATAACTGGAAAGTCTTTGTCCAGAAAAAATTACACTTTCAAATAAATCTTGCCCGGTATGGAAAATGATACGAAAAAGCTTTGTTCAGCGAACGATGCCTGGGTGTGAAACATAATACAAGTCTTTACTACCACAACACTTTGGAGAGGTTTTTTCTAAAAAGTCAAGTACATTGTCAAAATTCTCGTATTTTACACTTTCGAATGACTATTGAAACTTTGAAAAATCACAAAATTCCTTCTTCTTGAAGAGTCGACACATGGTGCGGATAACAGATAGTTATCTTATTATCTATGTTATTCAATTCTAGATAGTCTTTTGAGTGTTTTCTGTCGTCCTATTTACTACCATTTGTCTGAAAAAAGTCGCTATAGTGTAATATGAAACATTAAGCATCTTGAGCACCATACCGTGACTATATAGGCTTCTAGTCAGTGATCATACCGTAATATAAATAAAAATTGTTCCCAGAGTTCATCAAGAATAGCGGGATATTTTAGCTGATTTATTGTTAGAACCACTCACATTATCGTGTTTCGAGTTTACATGATTTTTCCCTTAATTTAGCTCAGCGTAGCTTGAGCACCAGGCCTTTTTTCAGGTTTCGCACCTTTAGAAGCTGCGCTCTTCTAGCCTTGATGGGATCAAAATTGTTGGAAGCAGAGAAAGCCCGCTCATCAGTTTCCGAATACCACCACCATTTAGAGAAGAATTATTCGGAAATGGATCCTACGGAAATCATACACGATTACGGTTGGGCCTGTCTTGTTTTTATGACAACTTTGATTCAATTCTTTTTGAAGTGTTGAAGTTCTTTGGAAGTGTTGTACATGCCACGGTGTACAAATTGAGATGAGTTTTCTCTGAAGCCTTTTATATTGCCGCAGTTAATCTGAATAATACCTGTTCACGATGTCACTGTAAAAGTACCGGTACAATTCTCATTTTTTAAAGAGATGAATAGCTATGTTAGAAGAGCTATAAGGTACACTAGGTTGTGGTTGTAATGAACTTCGTATCTCCTACGGAAGTTCTAAAATCATGAAGGTTCGATTGGCTGCAATACGAGAACAAGGAGATTTATAAGTACCATATACACGTAAAACGCTGTAAGTCGTCCCCTTCACCTGTCGTCCCGTTGATCGCCGACTGACTCGAGCGGCTCCCAGCAACAATTCCATTTTTCTCTGTCATGTATAAGAGTAGCCTAGTTGGTCCTCCTCGCTCTAGGGATTCGCTGAGCATCATATCTTTCTTCTATCGCTTTCGTGAAGAAATCGGACCAACGGGTCAGTGGTCTTCCTTTAGAGCGCTTGACGTCCCGAGGAATCCAGTCGATAACGGCTCTCGCCCATCGGTCGTCGTTGATGCGCATCGCGTGTCCAGCCCACCCTATTATCCGATATCGTGGCGTATAGAACTTATCTGATTTTCGATCGATGACGTAGGACGCAACTTTGGATCCTTTCTCTTATTTGCGAGATATGGGATACTCCTAGAATCGACCTTTTGACTGCGCGTTCATTAACGCCAAGTGATCCTTCATTCTGCTTATGTAGCGACCAGGTTTCTGCTGCATACGTGAGGGCAGGGATACTCGGCAAGTCGAAAAGGTGAGCACGGAGTCAGATGTTCTTTGTCCTCTTCACTACATCTTCGATGATCTTAAGCGTTCCTCCAAGCCGCTCGTTTCCTCCTGCTCAACTCTGGAGCTAGATCGTTCATCATGCTGATTTCACGGCCTAGATAGACGTAGTTGGAGCATTCGAAGATTGTCGTTCCGTTGAGCCTGAGTGGGGCTTCTAAAACCCATCCATTTCTCATAAACATTGTTTTCGTTAGATTTAGTTGAAGACCAATCTTTCCACAGGCGTTATCGAAATCGGTCAACATTCGTTCCGTTTGACTGGTGTTTGGTGTTGTAAGAACGATAGCATCAGCAAAGCGAAGATACTTAAGTTGTCGACCGCCAATTTTCACTCCCATATCGTCCTACTGTGATGCTCGCATGGCGTTTTGGAGGGTGGCGGTGAATAATTTTGGCGAAATTGTATCGCCTTTTCGAACCCATCTTCTTACTTTGATGGTGATACTGTTGCAGAATGGAGGTATTTTGGTAGTTAAATCTTTATATAACTCACGAAGAATCATTGTGTACTGAGTGGGACTTCCTGGTATCTAAAGCCTCTTCAACCACTTCTGTTTCCATTGAATCAAAGTCTTTCTTCAGATCGATGTTATACTAAATCTTTTTCGAAACTCTACTTGCTGAAATGGCTGCTCTTCGTCTAGCGTTTTGTTAATCCTGCTTAGGGCGATTCGAATGAAAAATTTATAGACAACGGACAGCAAGCAGATTGAGCGATAATTTCCTTTGTCGTGATGGTCTTCCCTTTTGAATATAAACATTTCTGATTTTCCAGTGAATGGGAACCTTGCATTCTGGCAGGTGGAGAGTGAAGAGCTGAGCCAGGGTGTTGATGAGAACATACGGTCGCTTCTTCAGGTGTTCTGGTCTAATCCTCTCCAAACCGGATGTTGTTCTGTTCTTCACTGGCGATATAGCATGTCGAATTTCGAGAAGGAAGACCAGTGCAAAGACAGATTCACCCTCTTGCAATTTGTATGGCAGTAAGAGAACATGACTAGCGAAGAGATCCGAGTAGTACTGATGGATGATTTTCTTTAATACCTTTCTGGAAGCTGTAAGTGTCCCGTCAGGGCATCGGAGAGCAAGCATCTCGATGTCATCATTGGCGAAGCCTCGTTGGGCTTTAAAAACCTCTTCTCAGCTTCTGTCATAACTGCTGCTTTTCTCTCTTTGAGGTCTTCCTTTGTCTCTTCTCTGCAGAGCTTTGCAAGTTCGGAGGTAAGGTTTCGGTTGCCTGCAGCACTTGCGACTCAACGTTGACGTATCAGCTCGAGTGTCTGCGGAGACAAGCACCTCTTCAT